AAAAAAAAAAAAAAAAAAAAAAAAAAAAAATCAGCCCCATGATGGAATTCCATGTTCAGTACCCTGTTGCAGCAAGAGGTCTCCAGTCAGATTCCTAATAATGTAAAATCCAACAGTATGAGTAATTATATTGGTCATAAAAGCTTTATGGAGACTGGTGCTTTAAGTGCACAGATCTTTCCAATGACTGTATTTACAAAGAAATTGGAAATGCACACATTTTTCATACACATACTGAACACTTTCTAGTGATGCAAGTAACCTTTTGGCAATTGAACTCTTTCATCCATAGCTGAAATAATTTATCTTTAATAAAAAAATGGGTTAAACAAAAATGTAACACTTAAATCATTAAACAAGGAAAATAAAATATGAGTAGGATCCAGAACAGCACAAGTTTTAGTATTTCTTACTAGCTAGGAAGGGACAGCTCCAGTAAAAGGTCTTCTATAATTACACAGAAATCCCTTGTGATAACAATTCTGAAAACAGTTTTGCCCGCAGTCTGAACTAGGGCTGCAACAACTAATCGACATAATCGATTATAGTCGATTATTCAAAAAGTTGTCAACTTTTTAAATCTATTAATCGGCTTCCGATTGGTTGGCCCTGTTCACGGCTCCACACACGCTGCGCGCCACACTTCCTCCCCACCTCACGCTTGCCGCTGCCAGACCCGCCCAGCCGCATCCACGCTCCACACGCAGCACCTCCTCCCCGCCCGCCCACATCCACGATCGGCACAGGGACGCGGGTAGAGGTAAGGAGGAGCAGGTGTGGGTGGATGACAGCCGCCGATAGACAGTCCCGATCTCAGAAACAAGTTGCTGGAAGACTGCTCATGTAACTCTGCACTTTCCCACACATGGTGCTCTATAATGTATTGCTGGGATTTGTATTCCTCTATAGCTGATGTTACATTGTGCTATATGTTATACATGGGAATACAAATCCCAGCAATACATTATACACTGTATGTATAATGTACTACCGTGTTTCCCCGAAAATAAGACACTGTCTTATATTTTTTGGGGCTCAAAAAAAACACACCAGGTCTTATTTTCGGGGTAGGTCTTATTTTTTTTTTTATGCACAACACTTCAATCCACACTTATTTATGTATAACAGTCTACATGTATCCAAGTACAAAAATATTGTGATCAGGGCAATCAGGGGTGCCGTACCTTTCCAAGAGCAATTTGATAACCAATCGCTGGCCAGAATGAGCGAAGCGCACTTTCACTATCGATTCCTCACAGGCGGAGTGCATTTGGTATCACTCCGCCTGTGACAGGAGGCGGCGCCATAGAGGAGGCATCGGCTTATGCAACTCTGCTTCCTCTAGCGCTGGCTTCGTTGGCACCGCTGATTCTCTCCTGCCTCTTCCGCAATATAGGTCTTATATTTTAGCACTTCCCAAAAATAGTACTAGGTCTTATTTTTGGGATAGGTCTTATTTTCGGGGAAACAGGGTATTGCTGGGATTTGTTGTATTCCTATATAGCTGGTGGTATTCTGCAGTGCGCTGTATAGAGGACTACAAATCAAGGAATCATACATTGTACAACGCAATGCGGAATACCACCAGCTATAGAGTACAACAAATCCCAGCAATAATACATTATACATTGGTGCAATGCCGAATACCACTAGCTATAGAGGACTACAAAACCCAGCAATAGTACATTATACAGCGCAATGCAGAATACCACCAGCTATAATGTACTATTGCTGGGATTTGTTGTATTCCTCTATAGCTGGTGGTATTCTGCATTGTGCTGTATAATGTACTATTGCTGGGTTTTGTAGTCCTCTATAGCCGATGCCATTCTTCATCATTGTTGTATAATTTTACACTTTTCATTTCACTATATTGCACACCACACTTTTTTTTTTCTTTTTTACTTCCACCGCTCCAAGCTTGCTCCTGTGATGGACTACAATCTCAATACAAACTAGTAGTCCCATCACTGGAGCCATTTTTAAAAATGTATTTTATTTTTTATCCGATTAACCGATTAATCGAACGTAATAATCGGCTAACTAATCGATTTTGAAAATAATCGTTAGCTGCAGCTCTAGTCTGAACCAACATTTATTTCTGCCATCTGTTACCTGCAGTAGTTTCATTAATTAGTCGTAGACAGTTGAGCCCGGCGATCTGTGTGGCATCCAATACAGACCTTCTCTCTGCATCAGTGAAGAAGCATGGAACCTGAAATAAAAGGGAACACAGGACTGCACATCACATTACACTTTCCTACAGACATGCGAGAATACAGAGCGCTAGATAAAAACGGACACATTTAGTTACATGCTTTGCTTGCGTAGGCCACAAACCATTAAACAATGAAAGATCAACACGATCGACATCTTCAGGTTCAGATACCCATGTCGGTGCCATTATCTAGTCCTCACAAGTTATTAGAAAGCCTAAAATATTAACTCTGTGCTCCCCACACCAGTACCTATGTCCTACCAACAGTTTGTTTTGTGACTATCCACATACTGTGGAGACATTAAAAGGAAACCAGTAATGGCAGAGAGGGAAATGTATGCTGCCATTGCAGAATGCTCCTTCTGAAAATGCCAGTGGCCTGCATAAGTATTTGGTGACTTAAAGTACTAAAGCCAGATTGAACTTCTACTTCACCTGCTTCATACTAGTCCCAGGATCCAGGCTTCTAAAGCACTAGAGCCAGCGATGCAATCAGCATTTTCAGGCAGTCAAAAGCAACCCCTCCGTACCGTATTCCATAAAATTAACACACAAATTTTCAGTTCCGACCTGACAAATGTTGCTGCAGGAGGTGCGTTGCGGTGCCATTCATTCGATGCCAAATGCAACTCCAGTCTGCAGTGTTATTGCCCGCACTGGTATGCGCTGTACTGCAATGCCCTGCGTTCCAGTGCAGTGCGATTGCATACAATGTGCATACTGTTTTATTCTGAAGTAAACTAGGTCTTTAAAGCTGCATTGGTGTATTTTATTGTAAATAAATTAAGGTATTTTTTTAATCCTATCCGATCAAAGTCAATAATCGGCTAACTAATCGATTATGAAAATAGTTAGCTGCAGCCCTAGCCCACCAGTGGGGTTAAAAAAAACAAAACAAAAAAAAACACCAACAACCTATAACTAAATGAACCCTTATCATAAACCAGATCACTTAGCCTAGCCCTGGCACTCAACTCCAACCTAATCTTAACCCGAATGTAACTAATCTAAACCTACCATTAACATCCTCTACACTAATATGGTAGATGGCTAAAGGTATCCGCACAACTGCAAACATCTGATCCCCGTGTCAAGATAAACGTGATCTGTTAAACTTTCTTGCAAATAAAAATATCCCACATAGAGGCATGATTAGGTGGCACGCCAGCAGTTATTGGTCTCTCCCTCTCTGCTACACACTAAGCCCCCATTCACACCAGGGCAGCAGAGGTTCAGCGCTGTTTTCGCAAGATTTTTAAAAGGGCGTTTTGGCGCTGAAACGCAATTAAAACGCACTTAGCATCCTTTCAATTGAAATCTTCATGGAAAACGTGCTGATCAGGACTGAAAAAGTAGCTCATGGAGCAGTTTGGGCGGCAGGCGAATTGAAACACGCGGATGCGTGAACGGGCCCCATAGAAATTTCTTTTTTACTGTTGGCGGTTCAGTACGGAAAAATCCGCACGACCGAACCGCCCTGGTGTGAACGGGGCCTGACAAAGGACTGAGGTATTTAAGTTATAAACCACACTCAATGAGTATGCCCATGGTGCCCAGTGCACTATAGAGAGACAGCAAAAAGCAGCCGGACACAGAAAGGAGCAGACTTGTCAGACAATAAAACAGCATCAAATCCTGGCATAATTCTGTATGAGCAACATCAATTTCCCCTAAATGTGTCAGCTATGTCCCCCTTGTTCATTACAGGTTTCACTTTTATAACAAAAATGTGGCTACTTACTGCAACAACACAGTCTACTACAGGCTTCTTCAATGCACTCTCTGCAGTCTCTTTAAGTTTGCTCAGTAGCATGGAAGTCACCTGCTCAGTAGTAAAGCTCCTCTCCTCCTCCAAGTACATGACCTAAAAAGAAATATATATTATTGCGTTTTGGAATTGTAAAGAAAAAAAAACAAAAAACCACCAAACAAACAGCGGTGGAAGTTATTAAAACTGGGACAGAATCTGGAGCAGTTGCCCCTAGTAATCAGCTTCTATCTTCAGTTAGGATGAAATATAGAAGCTGACTGGTTGCCATGGGCAACTGCTTCAGATTTGCAAAATTCCCCTCCGCATCTAAAACATAGCAGGTTTCTTTTGATTGGATACACAAAGCAAGTGATTAAAGCAGAAGTCCAAGCAAAATGGTTCTTGACCCCTACAGTGGGACAACCCGCACTACAAGGGTTAAGTGCTCGTTTTTGTGCAGGCGTTACAATAAAAAAAAAAGTTATACGCGCCTGTGCGACGATGATGGGGGATTTGAGTATGAATATTGCAGAATAGAATTTGTTTGTTTCCCCAGTCAGAGCACCTGCAGGTCTTCATTTAGAACTGGCAGGCCCCACCACATTCCACAGAAGAGATGCTCTAGCTGTGATCTTTTATTGCCCAGTCCAAATGAAACATATCTCTGCTTTTATGGATGTCCTAATTAACCACTTGAAGGCCATAGTGTTTCACCCCCTTCCTGGTCTGGCCGTTCACAAACGGCCATGGACGTAAGGTGGTTAAAAGGCATGGCACTAGGCCTCCATATATTACTAGTGGACAATTTATATTAACAATCAGGTCTGGAGAGGGGATCACCTCGCATTCTCTCTAAAAGCCTCAGGCATACAAAAATAGAATACTATAGACAGATGGGGCTGTCTCGGAATCCCCTTCCATGAGCACCTCAGGTCCACTGTCCCTGGCATGCGGTACTCACGAACCAGGGAGGCCCCTGCTCACTAGCACGAAGGCCTGGCTTAAAACCACAAACATTACGATGTTCTGTTTGGCCGGAGGAAACACAAATAACTGAAGCGTGCTAGGCTTGTGCTCCTTTTTATTTAGGTGTGGGTGATGTGTTTCCTGTTCTGGTGGGAGGAGCCTATCTCTCTGATGCTGTCCTGGAAGGTGACTAGAGAAATCAAAGTTACATTTTATTAATTTGGAATTGGGTGGGGATAGGGTAAACTAAAGGTTCATCCTCCGCCTGCTTTCCCACCCCTGCCTAGGGGCTGGCTCCGGGACACCACCTAAGAGGGGCTTATAAAATATTCTGTGTTGGCAACTAGAGTGGCTCTTGGTTTTAAACATCGAGGAACTAGAAGTCTGAACATCGCAGAAGAGTTCCCCTTTAATCTTTGGACATTATCTGCTGGAAGTCTGCTTGAAGAAAAGCCCTGCAGACTTCCACTTAGCTTATTGACTCTGAACTCTGTCAGAACTCACAATTCCAGGACTGTTAAGTTTTCTTCTTTTAGCTTTCTTCACAGTTGGCACTGCCTACATTCCCTAACTGAGCTCTAGCAATGCCATGTTGAATGGGTACTTTTGGAATGCAAATCCTGATACCGGCTTAGCATTTCTAGACTCTATGATCCTTTGACTCCTGTTTAGGACCAGGTTACATATTACTGTTGCTCAACAACCGCGTGGCAAGGGGGGCCTACTGATATCAATGTTAATCCCAGAGTTCTCAGATCATTAACCCAATCACCACTACATCACAGAATATGAACCATCCGGTATGTGGAATAATTCTTTATACAATATATAAATATTGTATAATATAAATCTGGAGAACTTTATAGATTTAAATTATGTAACAAGCTCACAAGGAAAAAAAAAACAACCAAAAACTAGATACTAAAACGAGTTTAAAAGCCAAGAGGTATTTTCACTAAACCAGAAAAGCCCTACTAACGAAATGGCACACCAAACCTTTTATTTACCTTGATACCAGCGGAACCCATTGGCAGCTCAACAAGCTCACAGGCCAAACCAGGCTTCTCCGCCTGCACAAATGGGTCTGTATAAGCTCGCCCATGAAACCTCTTGAAGCCTTGCAGCGTGTTCTTTGCATTGGAAATAATCTAGAGGAAACCAGACCAGTTAAATCAGCATGTTTTAGGCTGACATAAGCAAGAGGAAATATCAACATACAAAACACTTTTGTATCAAAGAAAGGAAATGAACAAAGAAAAAAGGCAAAACATCAGCTTAGAGGAGAACTGGCTGGATGCATTGAGTACATTAATGACGTGACCAACAAGACACTCTAAAATTATCCAAACTTTATATTGCCATAAGAGCTTCATTAGGATCATCCAGTGTCTGAATGGTACTTTAGTTTAGGAAGTTTTGAGTAAAGCTTTTTAGATTTCTGCCAGTATAGACATTAGGACTAGAAACAATGGGGCCAATATAGGACATGTGTATGAAACTGTTGTCCACACAAACGGCCAACATATTTCTTCCAGAGGCAATATGACCAATTCATATGAGCAGTACAGTGCGTTCCTGTATTTACATACACCAATGCAAGGCAAAAGAACCCCTAAAGTATTTACACAGGAATGAATGAATGAATGAATGAATGAATCTATAGTCTTTATAGGAGTAAGAAAGCAAAAGAGCTTACTTGGCTTTTTGCTGCCGCTCCAATAGATCTGCTTTTAGGGCCGAATGAAATGCATGACCTGGGAGACAGAAAGAACGAACAAGTTAAAAAACATTATAAAAGACACAGAATATATTGTTATGACATTGAAATGCTGCTTCAAATACTGCAACCTGCTTTCTAGTTAACACTATTAAGCAAGCCATCAAATTGTCGGGGAAACTAGAAGCAAGAATGATACCAAACTAGTACAGGAACCGACATGCTCTCCCTATAGTTTTTCCAGCATGGTCTCGTCATCAACAGTACAGCAGACCTTAACCCCTCCGTGACGGGAGATGTACAGTGTACGTCCTGTCACTTTGTGCCTATATGACTGGCCACGTACACTGTACGTGACGAGTTATATCAGGCTTTGTAATGCCGGTATTTGCTGATTCTCAGCATTTAACAGTCATTCATTAATGTCTCAGTATTGAGGCATTCATTAATGAAATAATTAAGCTTTTTGTAAAAGCTTCTTCCTTTCATTAATGAAAGAATGAAGCCGTTACATGCAAATAGAGGACCGCAATTTGCGATCCCGTATTTGACAGCTCAAAATAGCAGAGAGAGGCAGCAGTGACTCACCTCACCTCTCTGCTATTTGTTTTGACAGCTCGAGAGCCCGATGTTTAAATACATTTCACTCAAAAGATACAATGTATATCTTTTGAGTGAAATGTATCAGTTCTGATCGTCTAGGCACGATCATAGAGCTTTTAGTGAGATCTGAATCTGACTAAAGTCAGGATCAGTCTCTAAGGTTATTATTAGCTGTTCCTAAGTTTGGATCAGCCTAATAGCCAAAAATAAAATAAAAGTTAATTTATCAAGCTGTCATAGTGATTGCTTGATATAAACTGACAAGAAAAAAAAAATTTTTTAATTTTTTTACAAAGTGTAAAAAAATAAAGTGTAAAACAAAGGAAAATATAAATTATCTATAAATATATTTTTTGTACTATAATTAATATAAAACATTCTAAAAAAAAATAATCAAAACTTGTGAAAAAAGTGTTTTTTCTTCTAGGTTTTTTTCCTAATTTTTTTTATTTTATTCAAACTAAGTGAGGGGTTAGGTACACATATGTGATATAATTATATAGCCCTATCTGTCCTCTAAAAAACTATATATAATATGTGTGGGTACATTTAGTAAGAAAGTATATTACTGCTGTGGAAGAATCACACAGCAAAAAAATGTAAAAAATGTGTCATTTATGAACAGAACCTGAAAACTAGCTCAGTCATGAAGGGGTTAAGGGTCTGTTCACACGACGTCCGTTTTGTGTGCTGACCGGAACCGTACGCTGCTGCACTCAAAATGCATCCCAATGTATCCCTATGTGTTTTATGGGCTACAGTTCTCACGTGCGCAGTCCGTTCAGGTTACGACAGAAAAATACTGCATGTCACATTTTGTACGGTCAGGAAACGCAAACGCGTCCAAAACGCACTGCACCCAACATACTAACAGCCCTCCAGCAAAAACGCATCAAAAACGCGGCCAAAAAGCACTGCATCAGTCTGCAGATCCGCACCTGATCAGGACCTGATATCATGTGAACAGGCCCTAAAAACCCAAGTGCAGTCACATTAGTAATACATCTAAGGCTGCTTTCAGACAAATGGAAAGTGCTTAGATGCAGAGGCACAAGCTGATATTTGATGGACTGTTTTTAAATGATCTTTATATTATTACACACATGCATCAACTAAGAATACATAATCATTCAATGAAGAAAGTAAGACAGACACTTAGTGACATTAGAGTCACATCCAACCAGTTAGCATGAACAGTAAAAGGAGAACTATGGGGTTAGGGCTTTTCCCCATAGTTCTCCTTAGGGTAACGGGAAGACACAAACTAGCGTCCTCCCGTCACCCCAGGTATACTGAGATGCCGCAGCTAAAGCGGATCCCGACAATTATGTCTGGATCCGCCCAGCTGCGTGAGTGACAGCCGGCTCTGCCTATCTAGAGGCAGAGCCAGCTGTACCCGCCCCCTTCCCCAGCCGTTCCGCCAGTCAGCGCTGGCGGATCGGAGCGGGGGGAATCCAGCCGTGACAGGATTGAGAGGTGAGCGAACGCCGGTATGTGTTCGCTCACTTTCCCATCTACTGAGCCGACCTGTGAGTCTCTGTCACAGGTCGGCTAGAACTATGAGGTGAGTGAAAAGCACTCACCTCATAGTTCTCCTTTAAGATCCAAGTATCTATATATCTTTTTGGAACAATATTTTCACTTTATGACATACGATTCTTGGATTTGTTATTTATTCACTATATATTTTACACTGGTATTTGAAGGTTTATATACTTTATAGGTACATCTATGCCTATTTTGTAGCGCAGTGCAATTCAATAACAAATACGAGAAGGAGAACTATCTTTTAGCACAGCAATAGTTGCACGAGAATTCCCAGCAGATCCCATTGTGGTCTAAAGCTGGCCATACACCTATAGATTATGTGCAGATTTTCTATGGTCAGATGAAAAACATGCAACAGATTTCTGCATCTACACTCAACTGTGTGGCTGGAGGATCTCACACTGGGCCAAACTTCAGTATCTTGCTAGTCGGCCCAGGTGGCTCTCAGTACCTGGACAATGCCTTCATCCAATCAGATTGTGGAGGTATTTTGAGAGCCAGCGTGACCAACTACCAAGATACTGAAGCTTGGCCCAGTGGGAGATTCCTAAACCCACACAGTTCAGGGTAGATGGAGGAATCTGTTGCACTTTTCCCATCTGACCATAGACATGGAAAAAGAAAAAAAAAAAAAAAAAAAAAAAAAAAAAATCTATAGAAAATCTGTGTGTGGCCAGTTTAAAAGATAATCTCAACCTTGTGATCTCTTTGGGGTCCAATGTGTATAATACTTTTGCTTGCTTACTATATGGTCAATGTTGCTTATTTTAGTATACCATTGGCCCGTACTGACTTCTCTTGCGGATATTACCATGTATATTCTGAGTGTTATTTTATTGAATCCTTGTACTTCAGGAGTGGCCGTTATAAATAAACAATAGCGATTTGATAAAGCAGGGGTATAAAGATAAGAAGCATGACACCACACAAAACAAAAAAACAACTTAAAAATATACATTAAAATGTTTATAGAAATAAAAATTGCCATGTGTCCATTTTGTTTGTTGCGATCCAATATACAGTAATGACATACACAGTTTACTGCATCAATATAAGAAATAATGTACTTATGTGTTGGATGATCTAATGAACCGTCAGGTATGTGAAATGACTAAAAACAGTTGAATCAATTATATAAAATGGCTAATATATGTGGTCGTGTGTACACCATGTAATTGCCATGTTGCTATGGATTTTCATGACTTTTGAGGAAGCAATACTGCGAAAACGCATAGAATCAGTACAATTAAGTACATTGTTATATTGATGCAGTCCACTGTGTATGTCATTACTGAATATTTGATCACAACAAAATGGAGACATGGCAATGTTTTTATAGACATTTAATGTTTATATTAATAAAAATTGGAATTTTAGATATACAATGTCATTTAGTTCTTAGCACCTCGAAAGCCCCAAGTTGTTTTTACGTTTCTTGCATGGAGTGTCCTATATATTTTGGACCTTATGACCCAATTTCTTAGTATTGCTCCCTTCATACAAATGAGATAAGCTTCATTTGTTCCTTATAATCTTCTATGTCTAACAAAGATTGGCCATGGACCTCCAACAACAGAAATCAATCCAACAAATAACACATACAGTACACTGAATATGATGCTAGGTGGCATTCAAGCCAGAAGAGGAGCAGCGCAGAACTGCTGGACTGGAAAGTCTGCAATAGACAAGCACCAGAGATCAGGCAAGTATGGCAACAAGAGATGCTTTTCTTTTTTTAATGCTATGGGAGTGTTTTTTGTTAAAGCTGAAGTTGGGCTTAGTTAGTACACTGTCTTTCTATTTCCTCAATAAGTGCATAAAATATCTGTAGATTCTGCCAGAAAACCAGCAGTGTCCTGTACACTCTGCAGTCTTAAATCAGCCTTGACCAGGTTTCCTCTGAAATCGAGACCCCTCCACCAGTATTCCAGCAATGGAGAAGTGGGAGATGTTCTGTAGTTCTAACGCTTCCTGTCTTAGGTGACAGTGCTCCTCCATTGACAGTACCCTAGGACAGAAGTGTGTTACTGGCAGGATCACCAGATGCAATTAAATAAAAAAAGGTCCGATAAAAGAAAAACGAATGCATCCACCACATCCAAGGACTGGTAAGTTTTATTCCAAGGCAAGACACTTTAAGGTTGGAGTCACACCTCCATTTTAAATCAAATATATTTTTGATGGAAATGTATGACAATGCACCATTTCAATATAAAAATGTGCCTTAAAACACAGAAGTTTGACTCCAGCTTTAACATTTGGATGTACTATTTGTAAAGGTGCCCATACACCTTACGAATATCGTCCGATTATCATTTGCGATCGCGTTTTTCGCACGATATTCGCAAGGTTAATGGACAGTGTACAAGCGCAAATACTGTACAATTGTATGACTTTTGACTTTCCAGCAGGTTAGAAAACTGTCGAATTGTCGAAATTCGCTAGGTTGATGGCGTTTTCGTACATAAAAGAAACAAAGATTTTTTTTTTAAACGCACATTAACACTGCTCATGCGCAAACGAAAATCCGTCCCATCAATTAACGAACGACCGCTAATTGAACTAGTCGATGGTCCGTGAATGATGGGGCCGTCGTACGAAAATCGTACAACGGTTTGATCATTGTATGAAAAACTTGGTACGGTGATTTCAAGGTTTATGGCCAGCTTAAGACCTCATTTCACACATAGGCACGTTTTTTTAAAGAAATTTTGTTGCGCGTTTGCGGCTACACTACACATCTGTTGGGGACAGAATGTGCTGAAATCCGGCACAAATCACAAATGTATTTTTCCCCGCGCTGCATGCACAGGTGTAAACAAGCACCATAGGAATGCATTGCTTTTTATGTTTTGTGCATTTAAGCACATGCATCTGTAAAAATAC